AGTGCAGCCCGCCCTGGACAACACAGTACTCACTGCAGTACATGCCCAGGTAATGTCCTGCAGCTCACTCCACACATCTGTCTCTCACCTCCAACTGAAGTGGCCATAAATAGGATGTTGTCATGGTGACCACATTCACAGGGTGGTCATTTCTTCATTTACATAGCATAGGGGTTTTCAGGAAAATCTGAATTCCATGCATTCATATGGCGTCTGATAGGGCTGGCAGCTGTCCAGAGAGCCTCTGCCTCCGTCTGCTTTACAATTAGCTTCTCCCCCATCATTAGCAGCCTGCAAGGTCGGCACGGGGTGCATCTAGCCTGCTCTGTAATCACTGTCGATGGGGCTGGATGGCCACTGCGCTCGCTGATTGCAGACCGGGCTCCGCGGATCAGCCGGGACGGTGTTGAAGAAACGCCACTGCTCATCAAGGACTCGTGTAGTGCCATCAGCCACTCGCTCAAGAAGATTATCTGACATATCATCAGTCTTCAGGCGAACAAAACAGAGGCAAGGACTTGTGCATTACGCGAGAGGAGAGACAAGTGTCTGAATGTCATTAAAATGAAAAAAGGCAGAGTGGCTCGATTGCGACTTTCCATGATGTGTGTGTATGTGTGTTGACAGGTGTTCCTCACTCGTCTTAATGACTGCTGCCATTACATGAATTGATGATGTGAGACAATAATATTGGAATCGTTAATGAAGCAACATTTCTAATCTGAACATAAAACAATGGTCTCACGATAGTAGTTTAACCAGTAAAGCATGATGTTACATTTCTCTTTAGTCTGGGAGACAAAAGAGAGGGTGGAAATGAATGAAAGAGAAAAAAAACTGTGACAAAAAAATGCTGTCCCAAAGTGAAAAAAAAAGACTGAAACCTAATTTACGAAAATGCTTCACCATAAAAAGGAGCAATAATCAGGAGACAGCAAGGCTTGAAACAACAAACAAAATGGTTTAATTGGTTTTAGGAGGCACAAGAAAAAGTAAAGACAAATGCGCAAATGCATTATGCGCATAAACTTCCCTCATATTCCTTACTAGCCAAAAACAAAGAACATTTATCAAACAAACAGAAGCATGCTCAACCTACAATGTACCTACAACTGCTCAAACACACAAGATTTATACATATGAAAGCAGATTAGTAGAAATAGAAAAAAAGTGCAATTTTATGGGTACTTAGAAGTGCACTTTTTTCTCTATTTCTGAAACCAATCTTTTATTAAGATATGAAACTGTCCTACCCTGACTCGTAGTTTCACAGGAGCAAAAGCAGAAAAAAAACTGAAATCATTGTAACGAGTATCAAAGTGTATAGCGAGGAAGAAGACAGCTGGTACTCGTACTGAAAGATTTATTTTCCACAATATCTCAATATATCAGAAAGTCAGCCAGCTTGGCTTCAAATTGGATTTTCTATAGGTTGCCCAAAAACTTGCACATATGGCATAGGACAATGAGTAACTGGAGTGCTTTTCTTGGTTATGAATACCGTCTTTCCTTCTGAATCACTGCGAATGCACCGTTATTAGTAATGACTAAATTTACCTACTTTTGGGCCGCTCTTTTCCCAACTTAATCACCCATTGTGACAGGCGCATGACCACGCCCACTCACATTATTAATATTCATATCACAGCAAGTAAACAATATACACTGTTAAAAATTGTCCCGTTAAAAAACAGTAAAATACTGGCAGCTGCAGTTGCCAGCAATGTACTGTTATTTTACAGTATGTTGCTGTAAAAATACATGGACTACATTGATTTACACAATACTCAAGTGAACTCATTTTGCTCACTGAAAGCAACTGCCTCAACTTGGTCAACTGCTGAATGAGTTTATGAAGTAATGTGCTATATATGCTTAGAAGCATACTTATAATGATAACTTATTTTAGTTAATTAGAAAAGTTCGGTTTAACTCTAATGTCTTATTTTTCACAACAGCACACATACATGTAAATCTGGATTCACCAGAGAGATTCTGACTGCATCAGCCACTAAACAGCCGCTATCTTTAAATAGAGAAACATGCAGAATAACATCAGCAGTTCATTGTTCATCTTTAACTCATACACTAGCTCTACTCTCCTCCACAACGGTGACACACAGAAGAAATTAGCTTCAGGTTTTACAGTAAAATACTGTTTTTTTCCTTGATTTAACAGTAATCTACTGGCAGCTGTGGTTGCCAGCAATATACTGTTTTTTTACAGTCTACTTCCGTTGTGTAAATTAACAGTATATTACTGTTAAAATACATTTTTACACTGTGTTTTTACCTCTCACACCTTTAACCCTTTAAACCCCAGAGCCTATACTTCAGTTTTAATTGAAGTGTCCACACTACTGAGTGTTCAAGAAACATGGAGCAAAGCTGAAGTAAATTCATTAATTAACTGACTAATTAAATGATAATTGAGGATTAACAATGAACAAATGAAGAAATACTGAAGGGAAAAAACAAGAACAGAACATACAAAACTTTAGTCACAGCTTTATAATGAAATAACCTGAAGAACAACAAATGATTAAATCATTTAAATGATCAGCAGATGATTAAACAACTCTACAAACATCATCACCAGCTACACTTATTACTTAATACATGTATTTTTGTATAACATCTACTAAAGTTCTTCTTGAGAAAAAGGTGAAAGTTTTACGTCACCATCATGGAGAACAGAGTTTGCTTTAGTTGGGCTCTTAGCCCTGTCATTTTTAACATTTATATATCTTGGCTGCTGCAATTGTTAAGAACTTTGTTTAAAAAGCTCCTTTGTTGAGGCAAGCCAGCCAAAAACCTAAATAAGATCTGGTGATGTTCATGTTGCTATTAAATGGCAGAGTCTGTTCTCATTTAGTATTATAAAATTTACTGCTCCTATTCAATGTTAAATCTATTGTTTTACATTATATGTATATATATATATTGCAATGATTTCTGGAAGTTTTTAAGAATATCTTGGACAATAACACTGCTCTATGGTGTAAATCGCACTCAAAGAGACATCAATAATCAGCATATGAACCTCAATAATGGTGACAACAAATTTAACAAAATTAACAGTTTAACTCACAAACAGGCAACTGAAAGTCTAAACATAAACAACAGCAGAATCAAACACAAATAAAGAAAAGTGTAAGACCATTATACAACATTTATTTATACCGCAATGCATGCTGGGATATTTGTACAGTGCCACTCCCAGCATGCATTGCAGCATGAAACATTTGAGATGTTACCATTGTTGAGATACAAGGTCAGATTCATGAGGTCTGGGTGTGTATTTGTCATAACTGAACTGTTTTTGTATGTTATTTTTTAACTGTTAAGTAATTTCAGAGGTATCTTTTCTGTTTCCACTTCTCTTTAATTAAATTAATACCTGCAACTAAGCATAAAATCTATTGCATGACACCCTTCATCCAGATTTATACCAAAATATTTATCAGAACTGATTTCAGATAAATAGATTTCTCTATGTATTGACTTCCCAACTTTATTGCTATAGTACAAACATTTTGTAAACTCTGTATTAGAGCAGTTGGAAAGTCTTCTTAAATGAGTTCAAGGGTGAAGAACCCAACTAAATCAGCCCCTCACTCCATTACGGTGACACAAAAAACACCTTAATTTCTGTTGGATCTCAATGAGAATTGTATGGACATCAAATCAGTCAGTAATAAGTGTGTCTGCTGTTGTTTGTGAAGTTGTTTAATGATCCTCTGCTGAGACTGAAGGTGTTTTATTTTATTTTATTTTATTTAATGTTGTAACTCAAGTCACTGTTTGTGTTTCTTGTTTATTTTCTTCAGTAATTGTAATTATTAACAGCAGGTGTTCATCAGTGTCTGAATTCACTCGTTAGTGTTCATTAAAACTGTCTGGTGAACTATTTTAGTTAACTAGTGTATGAAATAGTGAACAAGGACACAAAGCGTGATTTCAAACACAGACTTCAAAACATCGAATCTGAACTCTGTTAGCTCACAGTTTTCTGCAGTTGGTTACTTTCTCGAAAACAAAAATGTTACCCAGAAAGCACTGTTTTTAACAGAATATTACTGTTTTAGTGAAAAAACATTATTTTATCGTAGAATCTGACCGTTTTTTAACAGCAATTTTTTACAGTGTAGTAGGGACAATATAGTTCTGAATATTACAATGAAACCTCTCATTTCCACCATCAGGACTTCAAGATTTCACACTATGCTGATGATTGATAATAAAAGCTTATTTTGGAATGCTGTCCCGGGAGAGAGCCCTGAGCTTATGAAATCCGAGCCCTGGGCTCCCTCCCATTTGCAGGGCAAGAGGGGAGTTTAAGCTCAGGTAGATCTCAGGTAGATCCCCTGCTTATTTCTAGCTAAATAATGGATATGGATTCTTGCTGTGAGGCAACAGTGGTAATCACTGGGCCACTGTGTAGCCCATCTGAAAAGGAGGGAAAGTTGGGGTGGGGGGTGGGGGGTTATGACAAAGAAAACTCTGGTTATGTATAGGGAATTAGGAATCATCTGATCGGATAATCGATCATGAGCTGATGCAGGAACAGCTAAGAACAATCATAAGCACGTGATCCTCTTAAAATTTGTTTATAAATAAACTTCACAAAATAAGCCTTTTTTGTTATCAATTGTAGATGTAATGAATGTCTGAAAGAGGATTGTTTAATCTTGATCCAGTGTGAGGAGAGACCAAAAACTCTGCGAGAATAAGAAAGCTCTTCAAAAAAAAAAAAAAAAAAAAAAAAAAAAAAGAGGAAAAGGTGCGCTATATATTTGATTATTTTAACTGAACATTTTGGTAAAATATACAGAAAATCATGGTGCTGGTGGATGTTTTTTTCAGTATGGCTTTTTTTGTTGTTTTTGTTGTTTTTTTTAGAACAAATTGAACGAACGCCCTGAATAGTAATTTTAAAGAGGCAATTGTGTGTATTATGACCTGAGAAGATGATATGAAATCAACCAACGAGAGGTTCCCATAAATCTCAATTTATTTTCTGATTGGTTAAAGTGCAGAATGTCTTGCATTTTTAATATCCTGCGTATAGTCAGTGGGATCCAAACGGCCACACACCAGCACACCAGCTGATTGGTGGAGAGGAGACAGTGACGAAGTCCTGCTTAGCTTCAGTGGACGACCGTGTGAGAGTTACAGTGAGCTAGCTGCCAGGTCTAGAAAAGACAATAAAGCAGAGCTAGAGTAGTCAGTGTAACAGGTGAATGGTTAAGGCAGCAAGAAAAAGAAACATAAACAATGAACATACAAGGGTCAAAATGTGGCTAGATAATCCAGGAAACACTTAGTAATGCTCACTACAGGGAAACAAGACTCAGTCAGGAGGTGTGTGGTGTGTATATATATATATATATATTTGTGCATAATCAAGGGGTGATCTGGAAACTGGTGTGTAAGTGAAGTGTGTGATGGGACATGTAGTTCAGTTTAGTGGCAGATGTGTAGTTAGACTGAATGATAGATAATTCTCCAGTGATATGCAAAAGCTAGATTGCTGGTGATCATAACATTGTGTTTAGAGCCAGAGGTCATGGATGTAGTTCTCAAGAAATGCATGAAATTAATATATATCTTGAATACAGTGTGTTTACACATGCTGAGTACAGATGCTTTAGCCTGACAAATGCACAAATGTTCACTGTAGCAGTATAGGGTTCATCAGGGCTAAAGTTGAAAGAAATTCATGTTTTATGCTTCCATCCTATTTTTTTATCACAAGCTTTTTTATTTAAATTTTTTCATTAATGATAAAAAATAGGTTTTCTTGAAGTCCTTGGTCTTAAAATGTGTTTCGAGGTTTTTTATATTTTACACACAAAAAAAAACTTCTCTAATGTACTATAATGTTAGAAGATTACACAGAATAGAGAGTACAGAGATCTTTTTAACAGGATAGTTTTCAGCTATTTTTAGATTATTGTCAGGGTCTACGTATTTTGCAACACAACCTCATTGTAAAAATGTATCCCTGTATAATCCTGGTAAATCTGGCTAGATTTTGTCTTTAAAATGATCTTTTAAAATGAACGGGACAGTATGACACCACAGATGGCTTCTGTTTCTTTTACCACTACTTTTGAAAACAATGTCAGTTGGGTTTAGGAAAGGGGGAGATTGAAATCCAGAAATGTATACAGGGCTACATATAAATAATGAGTCTGGGTTGGCATTTTGATTTGGAGTTAAATGTTGTAAAACTTAAAGACAAATTTTTGTCACTAGAAGTCATGTATTTACAATGAACAAAAACATATATTGATGACGCTGTGACCACCAGTGTGCAATGGAAGCCACAAGACAACCGTGCCAGCACACTCACCGAACACCCGCAATTGGTGGAGTGGAAGAAAAGTAATAGAACTTATTCGGTGGATGGGGATGATTGGAAGGTGATGATGATCAGTTAGGGCCAATAGAGAGAATTTGGCCAGAACTTCTTTACAAGAAGTGCCATGGGATTTTAATGACCACAGAGAGTCAGGACCCTGGTTTAATGTCTCATCCGAAAGACAGCGCTCACTGACAGTATGGTGTCCCCTTCACTTTACTGGGGCATTAGGACTAATACAGACTGCAGGTTGAGCGCCCCCTGCTGGCCTCACTAACACCACTTTCAACAGCAACCTAGTTTCCCCATGTGGTCTCCCAAAAGCCCTGCTTAGCTTCAATGAGTAACCAATCTTGGGCTACTGGGTGATATGGCTGTGGACTGCATGTCTGAAATTGCATGTGCAAATCTGCAGCCAAATACCATTGGTGCATCATTAGTATGTCAACACAGGACAAGGTCAGAGACACTATTCAAAATTGCTTATCTCGCTGGATTTAAACATTTTTGGAAACATTTGGGATAATGTAAGCACAGCAAAATATAACATTTTTGGATATTTTAATGAAAATAAACTTACATATTGTGCCTTTAATGGTCATTTCTATGAGGATTACTTTCTAATTCAGTATCTATTACAGAACTCCTCAGCCTTTTTGACTACAAGGCCTCTCACTGTCCACAACAGTATTCAATGGGCAAACAACAAGTTATTAGTTATTTACTAGATATGAAGATTAAAGATAAGGATGCTTCTCTTTTAAACATTCTAATTAATAAAATCCATATTATTACAATCATTGCAGAAGTTTTTATCAGATTTAGGGGATTTTCCTCATTTGGATCTTCAACTGCAGGTAAAAAAACTAAACCCAAGCCCATCAACACCACCAGCAGGGGGAGATGTTGCTTTTACGATCCAGACAGGCCACCTTGAGTGGAATTCTTTCAGCATCTTCACAAGAACACGTTCTTTGTGCTGCAAAAACCCTCACACACGCCACACATTCTTCACATGCTTGATTCAACCCTTTTTATTAATCTTTAAAATGAAGAACTATGTAGAGCAACTCTCATGGCCATATTTAATACCTGCCCATTTTTAAATAGTGCGTGAGTCACTAGATAAACATAGATGCAGACATCAAAAACGCTGATGTATTAGTCATTTAATGTTTTAGACTGAAAACGAGAAATTGAGTAATTGTCCTGCCATGTTTCACTACTGTTTATTTAGCCCTGAAATTTTGAAAGAAAACAACAACAAAAAGCTTCGACTTGTAGTGGGTAGAAGCAATCACTGTGAGTTGATTTGATTCCTGCAAGCTCCTCATAGGCGATGATGTGTCCAGTTCAACGTGCAATTCCCAAAAGCACGTTGAGGGTTTGTAATGACTCCAAACTGCCTGTGAAGCCCTGAGCAAGAGACAACAGTCATGCATAGCCGGCTGAGGGTCAGCAGCTGGGCTTCGGTTGATATGGAGAAACAAATGACTATCAAGAATCTGCAAAGACTGAAATGAAACACAGCAGAGCTGGACCCGGCCACAGGGAAGTGCTCAGGATTTGAAAGTGTTGCTGTATGTGTACACATGAATGCAAATAAACACACACTAGGGGCTGTGATGTTTATTGCCTGCAATTATATGGTAATTGTTGCTTTAACAATGTGTGAGCTGACATTATTGAGTCTGTCATCTGCTTTGCAAATAAACAAACAAAAACATGCCTTGATGGTCCAAAAGAAATCACTGTGTAATGAAGAAGCTGATTACAATGCAGTTAGAGTGATACTATAAATCAAACAATGAATGCAAGTTAAGAGCACATATACAGTACTTTGTCAAAAATAATTAGTTGAATCAACTTAAACTGTTACCTTGCTGTGTACATTTTTTATTGTTGTCTTGACAAAATATATCTTTTTGAAACAACTTAGTATTAGAGTCAAACTAACATTTTTAAAAATGTGCAGATATGTAATAAATGTGCTAATTTTACTAAATGAATAAAGTTCTCTTGACTATCATTTCCTAGTTTAGTCAAGCTTTCAGCTGGGAAAAATATTTTAACTTGAATTATTGTGCCATTTACATGGGAGGAAAATTTGTTACTATAGGCGTGCCAAAGGCTGAGTGATATACCAATGATGATATACAGCTATATAGCACTGCTATGAATGTAATATTGTGCTTATACAACAATTGATGGCATAATCGTGTATATAAAAAAGAAAATCAAACATTGGAGTCTCAAAATTCTTTTGCATGAGGAACTACTTTTTTCTGCCAAAAAAATCAGTCCAAGGCACTTCGGCACTCCTTTCTTTCACCATTCATTCACATCTGCAGCGGACCATCAGAACAGCAGAAATCATTGCTACTTCACAAACATCACTTCAGAGTTTGTATTTCAATGATTCTCTAGCGTAATGTCTAAAGTGACAAAACAGGTTATTTTGCTCACATTTTTATAAACTTTATGCTCACAAGATAATAAGGCTGGACTGGCTGAATGCCATCAGTCTAGAGAGATTCCCAGTAATTCTCTATTGACATCGGGAGATCATTATCCCCAAAAAAGCCAAAGCAGTGCAAACACTACCAGATTACTGTTGTGTTTGCAATAAGGAAAAACGCTAAACACATGAGGGCATTTCTTCTTTCTTTTTACCAAACTAGTCTGCAGCAACGAAAACAGGAGATGCATTAGAAACAAACAGATGGCCAACCAAAAAGTAACTCGGGGTAATACAAAGAGTGGTCAACACAAAATAAATGCATTCCTGATATCTGAGTCAACATCTCACACTACAATACACTACAATTACTATGGTATAAACACAGCACTACAACATACAAGATAGACATAGAATGCCACTTTTGATCCACTGTGGTTAGAAATTACAGTTTTTTTCTCTTCTGAGGTCTTATGCAGTCTCTGTCGCCATCTTGTGGATGGACAATGTCAACTGTCTTTGCTATGTTTAATGACAAGCTAATGGCCACTGATGCACTGTGTCTCAGAAATTGTAAATTGGCACTGTCCTTATAAATAAACTACATAGTTGCAATCTAAGCAACTACATTCTTGACTAAAAATATCCTGAAAAATACATTGTTGTCCAACAGCTGCAATTTTTGTCAAACTGTAGAAGAAACAAAAATTTCTTCTAAGGGTGAAACTAATTTTTTTTTTCTCACTTGATCCAAGAATTTTTAGATATTTATATTAAAAACATGAGGATTCAAATTAAGAAAAAAAATTCTGCATTGTGGTTATTCAATTTCTGTACCGGAATACAGTTAAGACTGCCTAGAAACTTCTCAAATAGTGCTAATCAAACCATCTTGTAAAACTTTTTATACCGTATTGAGACACGGAAGGGACATGATGGTGGAGAAAAAAAATGGGTGGGAGAAAAAAAAAAACTAGTAGGATGTTTTGCATTATCTTACAAATATGTTTAGTGAGGGATCGCAAATACGCTTTGCGTTCGCTCACAAAACTGTTGTTCGACAAGCACTTCATACAGGACAGCCCTCCTGTTTTTGCCAGGATTGTCCCATATTTTACTATTTTATCCTATTATTAGTTATTTTCATATATTTCTCTCATATGTTTAATCTTGAAAGCACGTTGAAATTAATATAAAAAGGTCTAAATTCACTTTCTTCCCATTAAAGCTGATCATCGATCGGACAAGCTCCGTATGAAAAACTGATCCCAGATTAGCTTCTATACATGACATTTAAAGTGACACCTGTTATCAAACAAGGGAAGAGCAGCAAATGAATCTCTCGTTTAGTTTTGTTTGATAACAGAGGTGTCAGAACGCACTGATATAACGAAAACACTTTAACTGTTTGTGCTCATTTAAGAGGAAATTAGTTGTGTTTGAAATAAAACACGCAGGATGTCCGGGTATGTTTACATAGTAAGTGTATTTGTCTGTTTAAACACACTCCCGAATTCCAAATTGTCCTGCACTTTAACTTACCTTTAAATTATGTGTACAGCTGATCTAGGAGTCAGTCAGCACATATACATGCATTTACTGATTCAGAGGTTGCATGAGGGGCGGTGATCGACGATCAGCTTTAAATGGTAAAAGAAAGTGAATTCAGACATTTTTATATTAATTTCAACGTGCTTTTAAGATTAAAAATATAAGAGAAATATAGGAAAATACCTAATAATAGGATCTAATGGTAAAATACAGGACAATCCAGGCAAAAACAGGGTTGTCATGTATGAAGGGAAGTGTTTGTTTTTTCGAGATAACACAAAACAAAACATCTTTGCGAGGGAACGCAAAAAGTTAAAAAAATATGTTTGCTATCATTTTTTTTCTACCACCCATTTATATATATATATATATATATATATATATATATATATATATATATATATATATATATATATATATATATATATATATGTATATATAAACAAACATTACTGTATATTGGATGAGAAAGGTCTGAGAATTTCAAGTTAATTAATAATGACAATTTTACATTTCAGTTGGATATATTGTTATTTTGAGAGACAACTTGAAAACTCTCAGTATCTCTGGATTAAGTTTAATAGTTATGATAACTTTAAGAAAGCAGTATTTGGTGGAATGACCCTGACCTTCAGTCACATTCACAATTCAAAATAACTTAAAATAACTTCAATCAAAATGAGAAGACAGATTATTTACCAATTCAGAATGTAGGAGTCCATCTATTAGCCCAATGACGAAACTAACAGCATGGTCGAAGGTTTAATGCATATAAGCCTTTTCTAGTGCTTCTGAAATGAATTTTATTATTTATTAGAAGTTATTTATATTCATTTTTCAGCTCCGAATTCAATCTGACTCCAATTTAAATGATCCTAAAATTTAGATTGTATTTCTAATTGTAAGAACGGATCACATTCATCATTTATGATTTAATTTAGAGTTTTGACATTTTCTGGGGTCCGATATTCTAATTGTACGTTCATTAGGGACCAACATCGCTCAGAGTTCCACGCCCTGGGTTTGCGCTTCTTCTCACGGACAATATGTCGGCACTCTGAAAATAGTCAGAGGATGCAGGATTAACTAATATTTAGATATGTTGGTTGCATAACGCTCACCTAATCCCTAAATAAACTGATTTTTAGCCAAGCCCATACAACTTGCTACTTCCAGTGGTCAAATGACTAAAAGGTCTACATGTTATCGGCACGCTATGGCTACGAATAATCAAATGCGCCTATTAATCAAATTTATGCCAAGGTAATGAAGACTCCTCGTAATCTACTGGATACAATGAATTTGCAAAACTCCAGAATTAATCAAAACTTAACATTTTATTTGTTAGGTAAAATTGTATTCTGCCAATTACATAATAAATCATCAGGAAGCCAATTCAGAGATGAGACTAACAATACAACATCCATTAATCAAAGATAAATCAAAGAGTTAGAGATGCATACCTGACCAGAGAAATACATTGCAGCATAAGTCTCAGAGATGCTTCAATGGGGTGTCTTTTTACAAGATCTCCCCCTGTCCTATACCACATGTTACCTTATATACTCAAGTCAAAACAAACAGCCATAATTTCAAGACAATAGAAGTGTCACAGAAACCCTTGCCTGGTGAATTTGGGGAGTTAATCATCTCTAAGGAGGGGGAGCATCTGGCAAAGATCTAATCAAAGTCAAAAACCAAATCAACATAAACCAGTGAAATAGTACTGTAAAATTAAGACCACTTTACCAATCACACAGAGGCATTAAACATGATACCAAACATGAATATAGTGCTGCAATATATATACACCATATTAAAACCCTGGACATTTGATGTAAAATGTGCTCTGATAAGCAAGTCGCTTAAAGGTCAAGATGGGGGGCTTGGGGTGAAAGGAGAAGGATCCATTCCTGCATTCTTCCCTGATCTTGTCAATGACATACAGTCAGGAAGATTTGAATAGTACAGTTGAACAGCTGGTTTCTTCATCACTTCTCTGATCAGAAAGTCCATTGTAGCATTCCATAGCAATTCTTATGGTCTTGCCTCATGAAATTCCATAAGAGTTATTAGGGTCTGATATTCTGGAGAGATTAAGCCGTCTTACAAGAAGAACTTTTATCAGACTTTTGTAGAACTCTGCTCAAACACAAACCCCTGTCTTGTCAATCCTCCGGTCACAGTCAACATTGAATGAATTCTTTATTTTAAAAGAATCCTTATGGCTTTAGTGTCCTATTTTTGTATTTATTACTAGCCTAAATCACCCAACCACAACAAATACACACTTGGCAAAAACAGTAATTATCATTATCATAAAACACCCTCTAAAATATCAAGATATTTTTACACAACATTAACACACACAGAGATGCTGTCAGGCTATAAACAAAAACACAAAATCAAGGCGCAAGAGTTTTCAAGTTGTTGTCTCCCGAGGAAAATTCAGCTCTATCCAAGGATAATTAAAATGTAAAAAAAGAAACAAGCAGTTGGAACAAGAGTGTTTGTTTTTTTTAAATAAAAAAGCAATTAAGCATCCCATGTTTTACTCATTTTTATTTATATATTTGCTTGTTTAATGGTTAAAAGTAATTAGAATTTTCTGTTCATTTATGTTGTTAGACATCAAGTGCTCAGGAAAGGAGGACAGGCGAGAGAGAAACTGAAAGATTGGGCAAAAGGAGACAAAGGAGTGCAGAGAAGGGACGGGGTGAGGGGTGTCCATTTGTCTTCGGACGAGGAGGGACGTGCCAGATTCTGGGAGGTTTGGATACCCTATTGATGCCCCCAAAAACATCCACCATACACCCCCCCTCACCTCTTTTTTTCCTTTATCCTTCGATTCCATCCTTTATTTCTCCCCCTCCTTTCTTATTCTTCCTCAAATCTCTCTCACTGGCAGTCCCGAAGGAGCACTCGGCTTGGTAAGTAAAAAACACTGAAAGAAATGCTAAATAATAAAATGTACAGCTTTGTTTACTATAATACAGGTGCGTGTAAATGAAGAAGAAACAGATAAATTGTGGGCTAGTTTTGTTTATTAAGATCATGAAGGTTGCATCATTAGACCTTTCAGAATATAAACTGATACAACCTCATGCAGATCTGATGAAATTAGACGAACAAACAGTTATAATTGACTATAAATGTAATCATTTTAATTTGGTAATGTAGAGGTTATGTACAATAATTAGAAAATTGCTATTAAATAAAATGTAATGACTAAACTTATTGTATAAAATTGCTCACGTATGTAGAGTATGACATGTCAGTGTTAATTGTAATTTGTATATAGTTGTTATAGTTTTATTTTTGCATTCAGTTTAGTTAAAATTAGTTATTTTGTTGTGTGTTTTGTTTTGTTTTTATTGGTTTTTACTTTGTAAACGAGTATATACAGTAGGGATGTCCCTATCAGGTTTTTTTGCCAGAGACATTTGATTTTGAGTATCTACCAATACCGAAATCTCATACTTTTATAATACATAAAAAAAGAATAAAGAAGAGCGAAGAAACAAATCCAGGATGTTCCTCATTTTTTATTTAATTCACCTTCTTTTAACATTCAACAAACTCTGTTAACAAACAGAGCATTTCTTTGAGGTAGCTTGAACAATCAAGTAATAAATAACAAATTCTTCACCTCTTGCAATCCTAAGTTTACATATCACACAGATTGCTATAGCAATGTGGTCGTCATAAACTTTATAATACATCTAGACCGCAGACATACTTGGCCAATTGCTAGATCAGATATGGTTGTGGCCAGAAGTTAATGAGAATAACTTATATTATCTATTAAATTATTTAGTATTAAACTCTAGTATAAGTACTAAATTATAGTATAATATATGGTACCGTATTTAAATATAGTAGTGTCTACCCCCACCCCAACCCCAAACCTAACCATCACTGTAATGTAAAAACAGTAGTTGTACAGAGTATTATTTGTTATTTACTAAATTACCCAATAAATTGTATTTTAATAAGGATTACCCTGCACTGCAACCCTAAACCCAAATGCCACAGAACTGTCAAAATATTACAATATTATTGTTATACAGTTTCACAAAAATGATGCTGTATTGTATTTGATCTAACACATACATGCACTTTCCAATTCAAACTGCTTCCGTGTTCTACTTTGCATGCATTTAACCAATAGTGTTTCTGCAACAAAAGGATGTCATGCCACAAGCGTTGCTGTTTCTCTGTTAACATATATGTATGACTATATATTTGTAAGAACATATGAACATATATGTTTGAGAACTGATTGTGAGTAACGTCCGATACCAGTAGAGTCTGAAACCATGTGATCGGGATCGATTTCTGATCATGTGATTAGATCTGGACATCTCTAATTTACAGTATGCTACTTACAGTAGGCTCAGTGCTTTTTTTCAAACGTACATTAATTGTTTAGCATTGTTAAACTTGGAAAGTAGGCCTACCTAGTTTTAAAAAGTTAAGTTGCATTAACTTTATTCCAAAGTATTATTATATATATATATTTATTAATAACATTATCATTAATAATATTATTAATTTACGTACACTCAAAAATGTGTTGCTTGTTTAAGCTACTTATTTAAAATGAGCTGAAACAATGTTGAGATTTCACTATGACGACTTAAGTTTTGTTCAATACACTTAATTTGTAAAAACTAGTAAGTTAACTTTTTTTGTGTGTGTGTTGTCCCAGCATTTTTACAGTGTAATAGCCTGATTTTTTGTTTTATTTTTTATTGACTACAACAAACTTACATGCCTTACATCTTTCTGTTTCTGCAGGCGCTGTCATTTTGTTTCTGTTCTAAGGGTGCTGTGTGTGCCCTAGGTATTTCTTCGTATATTTGTTTTAAATGCTTTTCATCAACACAGCCATGCGAGGGTGGAGTCTACTCTTCCTCCTTTCCCTCCTCTTCCTCCTCCATTCATTCTCTGAGGCTAAAAAGAAGTCCAGGCAGCCTTCAGAAGCAGTGGCCGGATCAGACATCACACCCATAAATCCTTCACTGGGCTCAGGTCAACTAAGCACAAAGGACGGGCACCGCTGCACCTGGGAGACGCTGGAAAGAGGAGCCAACATCGTCCTCCAGGTGAGCTGCTCTGTGGCCGGAGAGGATGGACTTAAACCTCCGTACACCTGCCAGTTTGCTGGAAAACCTCAGGAATGCTCTGCGTACAACGACCAGTCGTCCCAGTACTGGAAGCAAGTGGTGAGCAAACTGAAGAGGCGTGAAAACGCCTGTGAAGGGGAGAAAGTCCTGAAAACCCGCCTGTGCAAGAAGGCTTCCAGTGCATCTCACATGAAACTCACAGAGAGAAGCGGAGTAGAGACGACTACACACATGAGTGAGGGAACGCAAGACAGCAAACGGAAAACTGATGTTCCTGCGAGGAAAGAAAAAGACGTGCAGAAGGAAAAGAAGGAGGAGGAGGAAGAAATGAAGAAAGATGAAGATGACGGGGTCGAAGGAATAGTGAATGATGAATTCTCAGACATGGAGCCCGCTGTGGGTTACTGCAGAGAATCATGGCATTCTCTCTGCAGATTCTTTGGCAAGTTTTTTGATGGTTAGGAAAGAGAAACAGGATGATTTTTCGGATCGGGTGAAGAGTGAGAATGTGTGGAGAAGATGGAAAGACAACAGTCAGGTGTCAGTAATACAACTTAGATGCTAGTATGCAGCCTGAATAAAAATAGGCCTGTTGTTATGAGGAAGATGAATAGACATGGAGATAGTTTGTGTAATGTTTAACAATTACTGTAATCACACTGGTTGTTAATTTAACATGCATTATGTATGTATAAAACAAATGCTTTTCTTATTTAGTTTGTGTCTTGTTTCTAATCCAAATATCTATGTATTATCTAATGATAATAAATTAATAATAATACGTCAAAATGTTTAATAAAACAAGCCAAATAACCTGTCAGTGGGGTAAGTAAAGGAATCTTGATTTAAGTTTTAATTGAGATTTTAATAATCCTATTGGCATATTATTTTGCTTGCTTAAAGTAAAAAAAAAAAAACATAATTTTGACTTATTATTTCTGAAAACAAAGCTTTATTTTTACATGTCTAGAAAATTCTTCTTGATTTAAGAATTTTTAGATATTTGGATTAGAAGTAAAAAAAAAAAGTGTATATCGGAACTAATCCTTAACTTTTTGTATATATAATTGTAACTTGTATTTCACATGAGCACTGACTTTTTATTCAATATGAAAATTGTTGTATATGATTATACTTAAATCAATAAAAAATACATTTAAATAATATGCATTTATAAACTAGAAATGTAGAGATTTATGCAGAAAATAATCCTATCATTTATACTTAAATGAACCACAAAAGGCAGTGGTGTATAAAGTACAAGTAAAAGTGCAAATACCTTACTGCAAAGGGTAAAAGTTAAAGTCACTGTTTAGAATATCATTGTACTTGAGTAAAAGTTTTAAAAGTATCTAATGTATATTTAACTTAAGTATTAAGATTTTTTTTTACTATTTAATGTACTTAAGTAATGAAAGTAAAAGTAAAGAAGCTGCAAATAAAATACTTTTAATATAGCATAATTAACAAAAAACAGTCAACAACCAATAATATTAGAGGAGCGCAAGGCACAAAATAATGTAGGGTAATATGTAACACAGAGTTTTAAGTTAAGGGTTAAACATGGCATGCTTCAGAGGTTTTGACCACAGTGTCGGCAGACGTGTTCCTGCCAATTTTTTTTTTTAAAAAGGTGAAATTTGGATGAGAAAGACAGGAAAAAACATTTTTTGCAGCATAAAAGTATATATATATATATATATATATATATATATATATATATATATATATATATATATATATATATATATATATATTAATTATACTTTTTTATCTGTAAAAGTATGTATGTAAAATATGTCCACACGGTTGGATACCAATTAAACTAATTTAAAAAAATGAATTTTAAGTGTAATATTGAATACTTTCTCAACTTTTTCAAATAAATGCATTGAATAATAAAGGGTAATAATGCAAATAAATCCAAATGTGTTTATATTATAGATAAATAAATAAGCATGGTGTGCTATGTAGAAGAAAAATCTAATTAGTTAAGTACTGAGGAAATATACTAAAGTAAACTGAATTTAAATTAATAGTGTGAAATCTGCCTTATTAAGCATGTGTTACAACTAAACCTCTGTCTGTTTCAACTTGCCCCACAGGTGGGGTAAATAGTAAAATTTTTATTCCTGGCACGTTTGGCAATACTGACAGAAACTATGGGTCCAACGATCATGAACCCAGTCCTCATTTGTAAAACACATGTGTGTTGTTGGTAAAAAAAAAAAAAAAGGTTTGTCTAACCCCATTATTTTGTTTATTATTTGGCCAAAACCAAAACGTGTTACTTTGTGCCCTGCTCTCCCCTTAAAGGAAGTTTCACGTTTGAAAAAAAAATAATAATAATTTTGGCTGCCAAACATTTGACTAAAACATCAGATTTAAACATTAGATTTAGCACTCTTTAACAAACTGTGAACAATGTGATAGTCATTGACGGCTGTTGTGATTTTCCTATTTAGAATTTGCAAAAAATACATTTCCGAAATTATATTATTAAGAAGAAAGTCCGAATATAAATAAAAATAAAACCAACTTTACCTCAATAGCTACCCAATATGCCCTTTATCTCAGTGTGATTCTTGACGATCTGACGATGAACACCAAAATTTCTGTTTCTTCAGGCTAGCATCGTTCATCTTCGTCACAACTGAGCGGTCGTTTATCACGGGAATAGCCGCTGTCGCTGTTAGTTTTATTTTCGTGTTTTGCCCATATAAGCCTAACAATAATCACCTGCTTCTCGCTAGCTATCATGACATGCATGTGCTTGTTCGGAAAATGAAATGAACCGCGGAGACTATGAGCAATCGACTGCACATGCGCAAAGGCATTTAGGTAACGCAGGCGCATTGATCGACCACTAAAACATCTTTGTTTCTTTGGTTTCATTTTGTAGTAACGAATGTCATTTGGGGAGATGTATCGGATTAAAAGTATAGAAATTATTGAAGAAATATAGGCCAGTCGAGTAAAAGTGATAGCAGCAGAAAAATACAAACTTGTCTGTGAAAACTTTTTTTTGTTGTTGTTTTGAAAACTGAACTGCTAGTGCATTTCAGCTAATAATAAACTTCCAGTGAAAGGTTAATATGACTTTTTTCAAAGTCATATTAATTTTCAAAGTTGTAATGTCATTACAATATATTCAGTTAAATAAACTTAAGCATTCATTTAGTTTAAGCCATTAAGATGATAGACCATGTTATCGCTATAGCGCTGTCAGGATCAGCAGGCGAGTGCAGAAACTCCATTAAAAATACCGGAGTAAAATAAACTGTAATATTTTAAACACATGGGGGGGGGGCATAATGTAATTTAATGCAGTGCTTTATAGGCCTATTGTCTACCAGACAAGTAAGATCACTGTTTTTTTAAAGAAATGCCTTAAATATGGCAATTTTATAATGGAAAGACAGTTCACCTGAAGCACTGAGGCTTGCTGGCTTCCTTTTAACTAATTTCTACAATTTCTAAGCTCTTTAAAAGTTTACGGCTGATAAAAATACCATCACTTGTACACATATAAGCGCATTCAGCACAGAATACAGCGTTGATTTTAATGGTTGGTAATTTCTGTGAGAAAGCATGTAATGAAAGCCATTATAGCTTTAAGTTAAAAATTAGCTTTAAAATGTCAGAGCTAAACATGCAATTTCTTTTTTAATCAAGATCAAATGAACTGAACAAGTTTAAATCTCCCACAAAAGAACATTAGAGACTCTGAACTCGTTATATTGTGTCTAAATCTGTGTTTGCCAGAGAGTATGTTGCCTTTTCACCATTTTGCACTTAGCATCAATAGTCAGCTAACCATATCAATTGTTTAAAATTGACGGTCACTGAAAATAGAGCAGCACATACAATAGATTAAATCAATAAAATGTGCGATTTAAGTGCCATTCACCTGCCCCCTAATGAGCCAATTTGAGGACAAGGAGAAAATATTGTGGGGAATAAATGCCTCTTTTGTCCAGGCTTTCTGTATTCTCACAACTGCCCATAGCGACACATTTATTAAGCAAACTCTGCTGCTAAACTGTTGGATAAAAAGGTTAGAAAAAGAAACTTTCTGAGTCAAAGCGATTCACTGGACATCCTAACTACAGTAACTGGACCATGGTTTTATAAATATATAGCATAAAATATTATTAAATATAGAAGTGCTAATATATTTAGTTTTAACTGTGCTTATTGTCAAGGCCAGTGACAGACGTGTCAAGAAAAAGCGTTTTCAGCCATTCTTTTCTCTCACCAAGAGTTCAAAAGAGGAGATGATAGCTATTGGTAAGCAGCCTCGCAACCTTGGTTAGTTCATGAGTGAATGGTAAATAACTTTAAATTCCACAATAATAATCAGCTTTGAGTCTTTATGTCTGTACAAGAAATGTGTGTGAGAGAGGCAAGCTTTAATCTGCTACTTAATCCTCTTTTTAAATTCACAGAGCCCTGACTTTAAACCCTTTATTATGCTTTGTTTGTTTTGTTAATTTGCTACCCATGGAGAATGCATAAGACTTTGAGTTAAAAAAGGCCATCAAACTTTTTCAAGAAAAAAGAGAGGAAGAAATTTTTAAGAAATTAACAAAGTCATTTTGAAGTAGACGGATGTCGTTAACATACACTGAATAATGTGATCATCGCTGCTTCACTTAACATTTTCAGTAGCAAGACAAATATCACAGTAGGGGAAATCTTAACACAAAAGCTGCGTTTTAACAGTTAAGAGGTGCTAAATGGTGCTTGTCTTAAAGAGAAGAAGAAAAAAATTTGAAAATTCAGATGGATGGATGGATTGAGGGAGGGAGGGAGGGACGGACAGATGGACGGACAGAAAGACAGATAGAGTGCATCTGGAAAGTATTCATAGCGCTTCACTTTTTCCACAATTTTTTTTACAGGCCTTATTCCAAAATGGATTAAATTAATTTATTTCCTCAAAATTCTACACACAATACCCTACAATGGCAATGTGAAAAAAAAAATTTTTTTTTAAATTGTTACAAATTTATTACAAATAAAAAAACTGAAAAATCACATGTACATAAGTATTCACAGTTTTTGCCGTGAAGCTCTAAATTGAGCTCAGGTAAATCATGTTTCCACTGATCATTCGTGAGATGTTTCAGCAGCTTAATTGGAGTTTACCTGTGGTAAATTCAGCTGATTGGACATGATTTGAAAAGGCATACACCTGTCTATATAAGGTCCCAGGGCATGTCAAAGCACAAACCAATCATGAAGACAAAGGAATTGTCTCAAGGAACAAGACTAGGGAAGGTTACAGAAAAGTTTCTGCAGCTCTGAATGTTCCAATGAGCACAGTGGCCTCCATCATCTGTAAGTAGAAGATGTTTGGAACCACCAGGACTCTTCCTAGAGCTGGCCGGCCATCTAAGCTATGTAATCGGGGGTAAATGGCCTTACTCAGGGAGGTGATTAATAACCCAATGGTTACTCTGTCTGAGCAGCAGCATTCTTCTGTAGAGAGAGGAGAACCTTACAGAAGGACAACCATCTGTGCAGCAATCCACCTATCAGGCCTGTATGGTAGAGTGGCCAAAAGGAAGCCTCTCCCTGCCTGGAATTTGCCAAAAGGCATCTGAAGGACTCTCAAACCATAAGAAACAAAATTCTCTGGTCAGATGAGACTAAAATTGAACTAATTGGAGTGAATGCCAGGTGTTACGTGAGGAGAAAACCAGGCACCGCTCATCACCAGGCTAATACCATCCTTACAGTGAAGCATTGGCGGCAGCATCATGCTGTGGGGATGTTTTTCAGCAGCAGGAACTGGAAGACTAGTCAGGATAGAGATAAAGATGAATGCAGCAATGTACAGAGACATCCTGAACGAAGATCTGCTTCAGAGTGCTCTTTACCTCAGACTGGGGCGACGGTTTATCTTCCTGCAGGACAATGACCCAATGCACACTGCCAAAATATCAATGAAGTGGCTTCGCAACAACTCAGTGAAAGTCCTTAATTGGCCCAACCAGAGCCCAGACCTAAATCCTATTGAACATTTCTGGAGAGATCTGAAAATGACTGTACATCGTCGCTTCCCATTAAACCTGATATAGCTTGAGAGGTACTGCAAAGAGGAATGGGCAAAAATTCCCAAAGACAGGTGTACCAAGCTTGTGGCATCATATTCAAAAAGACTTGAGGCTGTAATTGCTGCCAAAGGTGCATCAACAAAGTATTGAGCAAAGGCTTTGAATACTTATGTGCATGTGATTTCTCAGGTTTTCCAGACATCTGAAATGCTTATAAAAATGTGTTGGAATCAGACCTAAATCACTGTATGTGTCCTACACACGTTTGTCAATAAGTAAATCTTAATAAGTTGCACATCTTCAGCCCAGTCTATTAAACAAATATATACTCATACACACACACACACACACACACACACACACACACACACACACACACACACACACAGAGAGAGAGACACTCTGTGTCTCTCTGTCTCCCGTACACAGGCACATCACTTACTAAACACACTGGCTCTTAGTCACCACACATAAATCAAGTATTTAAAACAGGCATTCAGCCAGTTGCCCCTTTAAGGCCTCCTTTCCCATCCTGATCTACAGGGAAAAAACACTCACCTCCCCAAACCCAACTGGGACCCCTGAGAATCACACAAAGAGACTCAAGACGCTTCCCACATCAGAGTTGTTCTGGGCAGAGTGGAGAAGTGACCCATTCGGACCCCTTGCAGTGCTCTATTCTCCGAGCTGGCCTTATGCCACATTCAGCCTCTTGAGCCTTACGACGATCCAATGGAAAACAGCTAAGAGGGACACAAGACACACAAAATTAGTTCTGACACAGCTAGTTTGCAAGAGGTTGCAAGCTCTGCCATGTGGTATTAGCACAGGGCTCATGCTTAATTTGCCCAATGAGGAAATAACTAGACAGTAGTTACTGTTTGTGAAGCGTTCATTTGTCTGCAGTATCGAATTCATGCTGCCTCATGAAGTTTGGCTTTAAAAATGTAAAACTGGATGTAAAGTCCATTCTTTTGCATTATCTGCTTCTTGTGCTAGTTGAGATCTTGCCACACGTCACTAATTTGCTTCATAAGAGGATGTAGCAAACATTTTTATAAAGATGATTTTGGAAGTAGCTCATAAGCAGCTCATGTCCTACAAGATAATGCTGGAAATTTCACTAACTGCAAAACAAATTTACTGTACGTGTAGGAAAGGCAGGCCAGTGAGACAGTGCTGTACTAACAGCAGCGCCATCTGCCGTATGAACAGTATCAATGCGACAATGCGACTTGAAAGATGCACCAAAATGTTAAAAATTAATGAAGAAAATAGTGGCATCGATTAGACATCAGAAAACAATGCAAATATTGAAAGTAGATAACAATGCTGGTATTATCTTGGCAAGTAAAATTTCTGCTATCATAAATAATGTACTAGCTACAATGAATAGGCTAATGGTAACATTAATTAAATAGGCTTTTTTTATTTCACAGTGACGCAGTGGGTAGCACTATCGCCTCACAGCAAGAAGGTCACTGGTTCGAGCCTCAGCTGGGTCAGTTGACATTTATGTGTGGAGTTTGCTTGTTCTCCCGTATTAGCATGGGTTTCCTTCGGGTGCTCTGGTTTCCCCAGTCACACAAGACAAGCTATAGATTCATTGAATAAGCTAAATTGGAAAAAGATTGTAAAGAAAATATAAAATTGTAAAATAGTGTGTATGGGTGTTTCCCAGAGTTGGGTTGTGGCTGGAAGGGCATTCGCTGCGTAAAACATATGCTGGCGGTTCATTCTGCTGTAGTGACCCCTGATTAATAAAGGGACTAAGCCAAAAAGAAAATAAATGAATGAATAAACAGATGCCATTGTTTATACACCTTAGGAAATAAAGTTACAAAAGCTGTCACTGGGGTGGTACCTTTTCCAAAGATACACATTTGTGCTTAATTGCTACCTCAAAAGCTTTATATTTGTACCTAAATATTTTAAGAGGTACATTTTTGTACTTTCTAAGTGCTAATATGTACCCTTGAGTTATAATGTTAGGTGTTGCTTTATTGACAGCTATTGTACCTTTATTTCTGGTACGGGGAGTGTACAGAGATATTATCTTTATAAACCCACTTCAACAAACCCTAAATACACTGCCTAGTATACTTAAAGAAATTATAATAAAAATAGTAAAGACAAGAAAAAAGAAAAAACAACAAAACTGTTTAAATTAGTAGTAAAAAATAAACAATTAAATAGACAACAATATTGTGTGATACAATCAGGGATAGTGCTGTGCTATCTTACAATGGTAGTCTATTAAGCATATGGGTCTGGACAGAGAAAGAAAAGAAAAAAAGAGAGAAGTGATAGCAACTTTTTTGGCAGCTGCTGACGTGGGGCATTGACCCAAACCTATAGGTAGTCAGGAGCGCATCACCACTGCTGATTGACTGTAGAAATTGAGCTCTGCATCTCAAGATCAAAATCTTTGCCATGGTGTTATCTGTCTGTCTGTCTATCTATCTATTATTTTCTTAGTATTAATTTTATTCCATATTTATTTTATGATATGGCAACCCATGCAGTGGGTAAGGCAGATGTAAGATTTTCTGTCCACTAGATGTCTCTCTCCACTAGTGTATATTTAAAGTGGCAACTTGCATTGGATAAGACACTGACGTTTTTTCACACTAAACTCATTTTATTACAGGCTTTTGTGCCTTGGTGGTGTTTAGCAGCAATACGCATGGTTTATTATGCAATAGTAAGGCTATAGCCTAATTATCCTTATACCACAGGAACAGAACCAACAATATTTTGTATGAAGTCAGTTTAAGTCTCTGCAGATGTTCTTTTACCTCACATAACCTGAAAATATTGCCATGTTTTGTTACAGTCATTAATGGCACATAATAATGGAAAAATATTAGAAAATAAAAACATTTTTTTTGTAGCCAATGCAAAGTTTAACTGTTGAACACAAACATTTTGATCATTTATTTTAGATTATTTTCCATTGTTTAAAAAGGTTTCTTTACCCATTGTAAACTTTTCTTGATTTTCTAGTGAGTACAAATTTAATTGACAAAGAAAAAAAATCTTATTAGAACAAAATATTTTTGAATAAATCAGTTATTATAACCAAAGCAAAGTTTCTCACCGGAATTATTATTAGTTTTTAGCAAATAAAAATATCCTACAATGCACAGTTTCTCTGTGAAATATAAATGATTGTTTGTTTGTTTTCTTTAGCCAACACAAAGTTTATCAAAGAAAAAACTTATGGACAATAAACTTTAATTTTGCTAGGTAATAAAACATTTCTATAGCCAAAAGCAAAGCATCTCCAGTAGAGAGTGAAAGGATTTAGAGATGTTATATTTGCACATGTTTGAAACCGTGACTATTGGTTGTGCCCCACTAGGCTGATAACCTCTAATCACCTAAAACACACACTCCAGACAGCTGCACCATTTGCACATCAATAAGGAAGGTGTTAAGGTATCGAAGACCAGGGCGCACATCTGGCCACGCACATCAATCAGACAGAGTGACCTAATTCATCACCTAATCGCTGATCAAATAATGATGAGTAAAATCAAATCCTGATTAAATCGCCAAGTTGTCATGCAGCATATCGGTTTGTCAAACGTGAGATAAGATAGCTACTGACACAGTGAAAACTGATATCATTTAAAGCAGTATTCAGAAACGTGCATAGACACAGCCTGCATTAAGGACTTTGGTAAGGATTTAATGACTCGAAGTTGCTTGTAAAAAACAGATTACTTTACCATAAGCCAAAGTCATGTTGGGATGGAGCTACAGAATAGTTATCTGAACCCTTGGGCGAGAGTAACCACACCAGATATTTTTGAGGGTTAATATAGCTTATGTCTGCGTGTATTTTTAATGTCACTATAATCTTAGATTAATAGTTTGTAACAACCTTCAGAAAATAAAAATTAACTTTACCTTATCATGACCTACATCAACAGTGCAAACAACCACGCTTAGTAGATTAAAGATTACCTGCGACTGAACCTAAATAGCATTCATGAATCATAAAATAAAAGACAGCAGCTATTACTACACCCGAGAGACCGTCAATTCAACAAAACCCACGATAATAGTTGGCAGTGAATATTCACACGTGAGTGCGATGTCATTTTTCACCAGGGTTCGACTGCTACACAATGATTGGTTGAGCTTGACAGGGGAGTGGAATATGCAAATAAGTAAGACGAGGCTTTATTAAAGCACTCGCCCAGTGCGTGAGCGCGGCGTGGAGTGGGTGTGTCGGCACAGCACAGCAGACAGGCTGCAGGTCTGGGCTCCGATGCTCTCGAAATAAGGAATTTTACACTGAAACCAGTCATCTGGAATAGCTTACAAATCCTGTGTTTTATGTATTGAGCTTTGTGCAAGTGACCACTTTAAACTGAAACACTTTCTCCATGAGTTCCACAAGGTAAGTCGTTTTATTCTAAAAGTTTTAAATAAAAATGCAATCTGTTACTGTTTGAGGTTTCTAGCATACTACAGCTAGCGACACGTCTGTTTTAAAGATTGTATTATTGTAAATGCTAACTTTGTGAGTTGTTTGTAATTTCTATAGGAATATTCTGCATGTAAATATAGACCATAGAGGCTATAAATGATAAATATTGACAAAGTTAGTCCTCGAATGTCCGATAGCTCACATGACTGCTTTAGCGAGGAAACGCGATTTTAATTTACAACAATGTGAAAATGCGCACTCGAACTCAAACTTTTGTGGTTAGGCTACTGAAATGTGTGAAACCCTAAGGCAAACACGTATATTAACATTTAATTTATACTTTTAAGTGCCATTCAACCTTTTGTTTGGCTTTTCTGCGGTATGGGGGATGGGAGTTAAAGGGCCCCATGTGGCAGTAGTTTCTGTCACCTTTTTTTCTCCCACTATACTGTCTAATCAATGTCCACAGATGCACCGTGTTGTGTCATGAAGCAGTTTGTTTCTGAGAAATATTTGTTATAATTTAAAAAAACTACATTTTAAAATGCATTATAAATTAATTGTACCTATAAACATCTGGGTTGTTGTTTTCTTGTGTTTAGAGTCCTTCATATCCTCAGTCCCCCAATGCCGGGTCCAGTAATGCCCGTGGATGTGGCTGTGCAGCTTTACATCACCCATTCACCCCCACTGCGTAACTTCCTGAGCTCATATGAAGACTACAGGACACGCAATCTGGTCAGCAACTGCTGCAAACCCCTGCGGCCCTGCTTGAGCTCCAGAGCCCAACTGGAGCACTCCTGTCGGAGCTGGCAAAACCCAAAATCTAAGACTAAAAAGAAGGTGGTGTTTGCAGACTCAAAGGGTATGTCATTAACAGCGGTGCACGTCTTCTCAACATTCGATAACAAAGAAACCGCTACATCTGAACTGCAGTTTGACCTGGAAGACTTGGAGGAACTCAAAAACACTCTCCATATCAATTCAGTCCAGAGCAGGATTCTGGATTTTCTGCAACCAGCAGCAGACTACCTGGATTTCCGTAGTCATCTGCTGAAGAACTTGGTTTGTTTGGAGAACTGTACCCTACAAGAGCGGGCCCTCACCGGCACGATCAAAGTGCGTAACCTGGCCTATGAGAAGTCTGTTCATGTGCGCATCACTTTCGACAGCTGGAAGAGCTTTGAGGACATTGAATGCACATTTATGAATAATGTGTACGGATGCCAGGACACAGACACATTTTCATTCGCAATTGAATTGCCTGGGTATGTTCCCCCTCAGAATAAGGTCGAATTTTGCATTAGCTTCAGGACTGGAGAGCAGATCTATTGGGACAACAACGATGGTAGAAATTATGGACTGATTTCAACATCCTGGCAACAGAACAATAAATTGAATTCCTCAACCCAGACCAAAAAGTCAGATGAATTCAGGAAGAAGAGCAGTAAGAAAACACAAGAGAAGGGCGTTTTTAAATGTAAAAGTTCACTACAATCCAATGGCATTTTTCCAAATTGGCAGAGTTGGGGTCAGATTGCAGCAACCGGCCCCTACTGGTGACCTGAGCTGACATCCAAATAAGCTAAAAGGCTTTAGCAATGGTGATGATTAACTTTCATTGAAAAGCTCTTAATATGATTTACCTGCTGATTACTTTGCAGGTAGTCCCAGATCAGCTGTCTATTAGCAGTTTAATGAGGGAACAGTGGCTGGTTGAAATGGTCACAGAGTGAAACTTTGTTTCTTTCAGATGGAACATGTTGCTGCAGTGCAATACAGAATGTTATATTGTTTTGTTAATGTAAGATGTGTGATGACCCTTTTTCTAAAGAGCTAGACTTGTCTGTAAACGAGACCACTAGGGGTCTGGAATAAACACTATATAGGAATGTGTGCTATGACTTATGCTGTAAAACTACTACCATTGGCATCCAACATCTGCAGAATCTGCACTATGCAAAAATGTAATCAAGTCTGATGATTTGAAGAGGTTGTATATCTAAAGCCTGTTTCATACTTACCAATTTCAGACGATTTTTAAGTTAAAGATTTTATCATGGAAGAGACGAACAGTTGGTGTGCAATCGGTGGGATTATCCTTCATATTGAAGGAGTATCTGGTTAATAATGTTTAAAACTGAAAAAGAGACAGAAATAATAGTATTTATCATTTTTAATACATACTCCTCCTTGAGGAAAAAAATCAGCCGTGAAATTCAAGTTGGTTTAAATCATTTTGTTTATCAAGCTTTCTACCTGCAAGATGTGCTTATGTTTAAGGGTTTACTTTTTTATTCACATTTGTGTTGGATGTTTTAGAAGGTTAGTGTGCTGAATTGAATGCAAATGAATGCAATAAGCTAAACAAATGGCCTTATTATGGCTTCTGTGCCTTAGGATCTGCTGAGCAAATGTCAGTACCTTTTGTTTTAAGTGCAATCCAGTGAATCCGAGCAGAATTGGTTGTGATGTCATGTTTGAATCAGATGGAATGGATGTATTTTATTAACGAAAGAATGGATGCCTTGGTAAAAGAATGTGTATTTGGTTTGATGTTTCTAAAATAAAATCTGAAAAGTTCACATTGTCAGATTCTGTTTCTTACAAACTGCTCAAACAAATGAACTGTCAAAATGTACAAACATTTTCAGAAGCAAATTATTTACCTGTTTAAAGAGGGTTGGCAGGCTGAGTTGGATGATTGGCATCAGAAAATCAATACTGTCGTGCTTGGACAGGAACATATTTGGAAAACAAAGAGGTAAAGAATAAAGAAACTCTTAATACAAAGAACACTTTCAGCATAAATGTAATATGGTTCTAAATAGAACTGCATGTAAAAAAGCTTTAAAGTATAGGTCTCAAACTCAGTTCCCGGAGGGCTGCAGCTCTGCACAGTATTGTTCAAGCCCTAATCAAACACAACTGATCTAGTAGTGTCTAGTAGCCTTGAACGCCTTGATATATGATCAGCTGTGTTTAATTAGGGTTGGAGCAAATCTGTGCAGAGCTGCGGCCCTCCAGGAATTAAGATTGAGACCTATGCTTTAAAGAGAGAACCATCATTTTACACTTCCAGTTTACACTTCATTTATGTAACAGTGGCAAATTATGTGCTAACATTTATTTAAAACATTAGATCAAAGCACAAGTGACAGTAAGAAGCATTTCTTTGCTCTTGTAGATGTAAAAGCAGGTGTAAAGTCAAGTATTTACATGTAAAGCTAACTATTTTCGCCAAAGCTTCAAGCACTCTATGAATAATAATGCAGAATCTGAAGACTCTGAAGGCGTTTGTCAAGTTGAAGCAGCAACTTGACACCTTGTTTTTATGAATACACATATGCAAACTCAAGGACTTATGAATTGCTTTTATCTCCATACAAAGCTCTGACAAAAATCATAAAACGGCAAAAGGTTCAACGTTAGCTTAGGGTCTTCTTTGCTTAATGAGGAATGCAGAGAATGTAGAGAGCTTAAATTTCCACTTTTCAACATTTTTATAAGACACACATCTACCTTTTAACACAGAGAAAGAGGAGCTCATTTAGACAGGAGACCTCTGATAACCCTGGATATCAACACTCGCTGCACGGTCGTGTACTGAACGCACAGTTCAGAAATACTTACTCTCGTGCCAAGCCTATTTCAGCTACCCGACATTTATTAAAGCAGCCGACCGGGGAACATCATGTCAATAGCAGGTTCTTTCAGGTTGTTCCAAAACCAGTTTGTGTACACACTGTGATTACCATAAGTAGCCAGTAATAAATACTATAAACATGAAAGCATTTCATGTTGTGTGAAATTAGCAAAGAAGTAAAAGGTACATGTATTTAGCACTTTTTTTACATTATATTGAGCATGTAAAAAATAAAAATAAATAACTAAAATTAATAAACAAAACAAAATAATACAAAACATTCCAATACAATTTTAACCTATACATGTCTGAAAAGCAATAGGAAGAAGCATTATTTAATTCTAGCCATTCTCCACTTTACATTCATTATAAATAACACTCCAGAACAATAAATAATAATGAACATCAATATTAATCAAATTAACTCAATGATTCTGTCATCTCACTCTTATTCTTTTCAATCTTATCTTTTTCTAATTAAATTAACAGTGCGAACAACAATTAAATCTGTTCTTCTTCAATGTACATTCTGAAAACCATATTCTTCTACTGATTTTGAAATAGATCACACAGGACACTGCTTGAGCTCCAGATCTAGTGACTTTAAAGGCTTAAAAAGTGCAATTTAAATTAACTTGGTTAATAGGGTAACTAGTTAATCAGGCAAGTCATTGTACACATTTACACATTTTGTAAATAATTTCCTAAGGGGGCTAATAATATTGATCTTAGTTTCAAAATTATTCATATATATATATATATATATATATATATATATATATATATATATATATATATATATATTTTTTTTTTTTTTTTTTGCTTCAGCCAAATTAAAAGAAATTAGATTTCCTCCAGGAAACAAGCATAATAATAGGGGATTACTTTGAAATAGGTCATTGCTCTGTTTGGGAAATGTTTGGAAAATGTTTACACTTGGGAAACTGGGGAGAAAAATCAAAT